GAGTAACTTTTCTTAATTTAATACTAGAAGTAGTTTTAATTATTATTTTTTCTCAATAGATAGAGTTTTGGCTTAAAATAGGTTTTAATCTTTCAAATGTAGTGTCACTTCAGCTTTTTCATTTATTTAGTAAAACAAGTGTTAAATTTTCTAACGTTTTATGGTTCATGAGATGAAGTGAAATGTAACCTAAGTTTGGGGGATTCACAAAATTTTTCCTATCAAGTTTAATGTCACACTAAGTCTTAGTTTTTTTTGTCCATCTAAGTAACAGAAGGAGAATGTCTAAGATCTTTTGGTATAATGACATGAGAAGGAAGAGGGGGAGGATTTTGAGTCGAGGTCTGTGAGTACAATCCTACTTGTAATCTTTATTTTAATTAATAGAATGATGTGTGTTTTTGTTTTTATGTGACAAAGGGAGAACTCTGTTAACATTTTGAAGGTCAAGGAAAGTGGTTGACATTTCTTTTTAACTTTGGGGCCAAGTGAAAAAGTGGTTTATGTTTAGGGAACTTATGAATCCATCCAAAAGAACTATAGAAGCAAAAAAAATTGAATGGGGCTGTAACACCACCTATCAGGGAACGAATCCCTCTACCAAATGTTCTCAAGTTATGTTAGGTGTCATTACTCTTTTAATACTTATTTTTAACTTATCTTGAGCTTTCTTTAGATTGGTAACATTAAAATGTGGGATAAATTTGAACTTTTTAAGACTTTTTTGCGCAATGGTACAAAAACATGATTTTCGTATTTCTCTTGACTAATTTCCCATATATACAGTATAACACATATCTAAAAAATAGATCCAACAGTTCTTACAAACAAAAACAAGAGCATAGTAAATAGTAGGGGTGAAAGAAATCACCCTAAACCCGACTACCCGACCCTACCCGAAAATATAGGGTTTTTTTTTTCTGTTTAAAATCAGCCCAACCCGCAATGGGCGGGTAAGGTCGTGAGCCCAAGGCCATTACCCCGCTTAACCCTACCCGGCCCAAAATAACCTTCTGCACTTAAAAAAAAACCCTACATCACCTACCTCTCTCTTTCTCTCTCTATCTCTCTAGAAACACGCTAAAGTGAACGAAAGCGTTCTTTTTCCACCATAAAGAACTCTTATTTCTTGGCCATATCACTTCTTAAATGTGAATGCTTAATGGGTTTTCTTCACTTTCCATTCACAACCATGTTCACAGTTTAGAAAAGGATATTGGGGTTTTCTTTACTCTGGTTCATTGATTTTCTGAAATGGGTTTTTGAGGAGCTTTGCTCAGAAGCAAATTTTTGGCAGTTTCGGGAGTGTTTGTTTGTTTCTTGGGATTTTAGTGCAATTTCGACGTGAGGAGCATTTATGGAGTTTATTTAGTAGCTTTGCTTTGCTTTGGGATGTTTATTTGCTCTTCATGCTAGGATGATTCAGAGAATGCTAGGAAGAATGTCACACTTAAAATTTAGAGTTGGTTTACCTGAAGTAATCTGGCCGACCTGAGGTTACCCGAGGTAACCGAATGGTATACGGGTTCTAAAATTAATTAACTATTACGGGCCAACATTTTCTCAGGCCGATGATTGCGGGCCGGCCCAAAACAAGCCCAAAAACTGACCCTACCCAGCCGACTTTCACCCATAGTAAATAGTTAGTAACTCAGGGCCTCAAACATGTCAGCATCGTCCATATACAAAAGTCCTGGTACTGAGGATGACGCCAGCCAACCACCAAAATAATGTACATCTAATGCTGGGATGTGTCTTCATCTGCATCACCATAAATAAGTGAGCTAAAGCTCAGTAAGTAAAATAAATGCATGAATAAGTAATTTGAACATATAACATCACATCTTAACTGCATCCTTTCCTATTGTTCCATTTCCATTTCGTATAACATTAATTATTCATTTTGTTACCTTTTTATTTCATCACTTGTATGCACAGTTGCCGTGGTTATATCATTTTCTCTTTTTTTAAGACCTTGTGGCCATTATTAATAGCATCATGTGTCTCCGAGAGACTTAGTGGTCTCAGACCTTATGACTTTCACAATGATTATCATATGTCTCACAGAGACTTAGTGGTCCCATACCTTGTGGCCAAGTAAATATCATATGTCTCCCAGAGACTTAGTGGTCCCAGTCCTTAGGGCCAAGTAAATATCATATGTCTCCGAGAGACTTAGTGGTCCTTACTATCCCCATCGGGATTGTTTTAGCCTCATTACTAATCACTACGAATTATCACTCCTTTTATTACTTTGGTGAATGTTTATCAACTCATTCCTTATATAGCATTTTCTTGTATTTTGTACCATGTACATACTTTATGCATTATAAATATACATCACATAATCAAGTATCACAAATGTACTTTGCACAATTATTATGGTGATACAGGTGATATTCTACTTATCTCGCACCGTATGACAGAAAGTATGACTTTAGGGTTCCTCTTGGTGGATCTGATGTGAACAACTGTAATGTTGGGTATTTAAATGTATTGTCATTAGTTTTGTGATTAATGACTTTGTTCCTTCTAAAATAACTTAAACTATAGCCTAAAATGGCTCAACAAATTACACCTTTCATTTAAAGCCTCTAAAAACACCATTTTTCTAAATTTTCTATAACTTAAAGATTTTACTTAAAAATATTCCATTAAAAAGAGTCATTTGGGTGAAAATAGCCAATTTTGGTAAGATATGTAAAAAATGTCCAATTCAAACTTAGAACAGCTTAAAATGACTAATAATCAGAAAAACGGGTCAAAAATCTAATTTTGGCGCATACTTGGCTCAACCGTGCGCGCAAGTGGGCACCAAGGCACCAACCGTGCACACACAGCACGCATAGGGCTACACAGTGCGCGTAGGGCTGCTAGCGACCCATGCTACGCTCACAGGGGCTACCAGCGCCCCACTGGTGTGCTCACAGGGCCTGCTGCAACATGCTGGGCGCCCACAGCATGTAGCATGGTGCGCCCAGCCACCCAAAACAGCCCAAATGACCTCTAAACCTCTCCAAACCATTTTTAAAAATTTTGCGAGAGGTTCTCCTACATTTTAACACTCATCAAAGCTTAAAATACCTGTTAATCTCCTAAAATAAATGAATATCACACAATAAGCCTATATTAGAAAATTATCACAAAATCACCAAAATTATCAGGAACCAACCTTAATTTTAAAATCATAACTCCCAAACAACACAGACATTTCCAAAACGGTTTTGGGAGCATTTAGTCAACATATAAAGTGAGCTATCGTCAAACTTTCAGCTTCATTTGAGCTTCATAGCCTAGGTAAATAAATAAAAATATGAAGCATAATGAAAACTGACCTGAATCTGGACAGCTCCAAGAAAACAAGCTTTAAACCACCATCTTCCAATTGAATTAGCTCCAATAATTTTTATAGGCTTCAATCTAACATATTAAAGATCTCATATCTCAAAAATCATGACCTTACTATAAATAAAACCATCTGAATCATCATCAAAACATAACCAAACCAAAACTGTCTCTTACCTTGATCTAGTTTAGGTTTTTTCTTGTGAGTCTCCCACCTCCAATTCAAATGATTAGCTCCTAAACCTCTTATAAACTCTTGGAGCATACCCTAAAACAATCCCAAAGGATTAGAGCACGGGCTTATCACCAATCTTGAGAGAAACTAAACTAAAATCACAAAATTCTCCTTTCCTTACACTAGTTTCAATCTCTTGGTGTTCCTATGATCAATCCTTCATCAAACCACTTGGAATTGCTTTGGTTTTCTTAAGAAATGACTGGAGAAGCACTTTGGAACCAGAGGAGGGTCGGACTAGATGGTTTTGGGGCTGATTCCTCTTCTCCTCCTTGCTTAACACTTCAAAGAGACAAATAGGCATCTCAATTTACTTAACCACGAAGCACTCTCATCTCTTATAATCTAATATCACCATAAGCAGCTCTCTCACCACCTTCTCTTGCACACAACACTCACATAAATTCTCAAAGTATGAACAAGGTCTTAGCCAATCATTTTGCCTATTAAATTTAGTGTACATGACAAATCCTAACTTTACATCTCCCATACTTTTCATTTAATTTTAAACATCTAACATAATCACTTTCTATTTCATTCTTACCCTAATTATTAGGATCCATAATTCATTTAGAACCTTAATAAAATCTCAATTTGATTCCACAAACTCGAATACCAAAATATGCTTAATTTAAGGCTTCTAAAGTAACACGATCATTAAACCCTTATCATCATCCCTTTTTAAACCTTATTTCAACCTTAGAATCACCTTAAGTAGTCTCTTTGGCACATTAACTCAAGTCCAAACCTTTTCACACATCACACCAATATGTATATTTTCATTAAACTTGCCTTAAAGCCCCATTAGAACTCCATATTTTACTTTTTAGTAACTCTTGTAAATATCATTAAGAACAAGTTGTTGTCCATTTTCCAACTTACCGGATCCTTCGCTTATATAATGAACATATCAATATATAATTCACTTCAAATTATAATGCACTTCAAATTATAATGCACACCATTATAATAAATAACTAACTGTATATAAAATGACGTATTCATGTATTATATGCATGATATTTAAAATATTATAAAATGTATTGACTAAAGAGTATGTGAGAATTTTGGATATGACAGGGGCACATCCAACGGTCAAAATTATGACGTTCTCTCTCCTCCCATGAACTTCGCCAACTCTTCCTCCCCGCCATTTCTTCCCCCCAAAAAACCAGCTTTCCTCTTCCATTCTAATCCTCCAATTCCCATCCCTTTCTCTCTTTCTCTCTCTAACACACTTTCTCTCACCAAAATTCCACCCACTTTCTCTCTCTTCACCACCATCGAATTCCCATTCTCCCCTCAACATCGTAAATTTCTCACTGCCTTTCCACACATGATCCGCATGCTCGTCTTCTCCAGACCTTAACGAGCTCGAGATTTGTGCCCTAGTCTCGACATTTTCAGGCGATCGATCGACATGACCAGCACGAAAGCCGATCAGAGTCGCCCTTTCTCTGTTGCAGTACTGTTTTTGCTCGCGCTGAGCTTACCACGCCTCGTTGTTTCTCAAGATGCCAAGGCACTCAACAATCCAGTTGCGCTCGACTTCTTCTCCGAGTTTATCAATGGCCAAATCAAGAATTTCACTTCCTTATTCAAGGACGACATCAAAAAGCATTATGGTTTCTGCATAACAGACGTGTAGGTCTTCTGTTGCAAATATTTGATTTGTATTTTGGATTACATTAATATATGTTTCAGTTTGGTTGCTTTGATTAGTTGTTTTATCAAACGGTCGAGTTAATTTGTAGTTTTTTCCTCTCTATGTTCTTTAGGGATGCTGATTACAATGGAGCTTTCAATTTCTCAAAAGATATAGGATTTATCTCTGCTTGTACTCAAAAAACAAAAGGTATCAACCCATGGCCTTCATTAACTAACATCATTGGTTGTTTCAAGTTTAAGGTGAAATTGGTTTTCTTTTTCCCTAAGAAACTTTAGAAGATCTAAAAGTACGATTTTCGCTGTAAAGGCTTAATAAAGACGCCTTACAGACATGTTTTGATCATACCTCTTACAGGGGAATAAATACAACCTTGTGATTCCACTGAAATTGCAAATGCTGATTCTCTATTTACTTTGGAAAAAGTTTGTTAATCGGACAATTATTTAAAAAGATGTACTAGAACCTTCTTGAATTGATTAAGGACAGAAGTGGTTATACGTCTAGAAAAGAGTAAACTCCTTGGACTTGGTTTAACAAAGAAGGTTCAAATTCTACTTGTTAAACATACCCTACTATTTATTTAAAATCTACCAATTTGTTTATGGACATTATGTTATCAGCTTGATATTTCTGATAATCTCTTTGGTTGAATGAAAAAAAAAAAAAAAGATATCATGCAGCGGTTATGTACAGCAGCAGAAGTAAAGTTCTATTTCAACAGCTTCTTCTCACGGGGGCCATCAGAGAAAACTAATTACTTGAAACCTAACAAGAACTGTAACCTATCATCGTGGGTAGACGGATGTGAGCCGGGCTGGGCTTGTAGTGCCGGTTCAAATAAAAAGGTTGACCTGAAAAACGCAAATGACATGCCTTCCAGAACTAGTGACTGTGCAGCTTGTTGTGAGGGTTTCTTCTGCCCCCATGGTCTTACTTGCATGATCCGTAAGTATATCTTATAGACCGCCAACTATTTATGTGATGAGATTTCCAATGTTGTGATCTTCGAGTTGGATTGTGTTGATTTTCGTTTTCCTTATACTTAAAAAGTAGAAACACCCTTCAGATGACATATTAGATGTCAATCTACTCTCTTATATCCTTCGTAGAGTCTACTTGTTCCTGACTTCGTTTTTTTTTTTTTCACTTATCATCTGTGAAGCTTGCCCTTTGGGTGCATATTGCCCACTTGCAAAACTCAATAAAACTACTGGTGTATGCGATCCGTAAGTTCATTTTCTTTTGGTTCACTTTCTTTTTTGGTTCTGTTGGAATGAATTTGTATTTATCGAAGAAATATTGTACAGATATCACTATCAGCTACCTCCCGGAAACGCCAACCATACTTGTGGAGGAGCAGACACTTGGGCTGATATTTTGAGTACTAGTGAGGAATTCTGTTCAGAAGGATCATACTGTCCGTCTACTGTCAAAAAAAATCCTTGCAGTAGTGGGTATTGATAATTATCCCAAAACTCCTAGTACCTGTTTTTAGATTAAAAGTTGTAATATTTTGTTTGTTGCATGAGCCAAAAGACTGGTTTAAGTGTGCTGCTTTTACACTATGATTATCATGCCTCTCGTTGTTGCCATCACTATCATTACTGAACGATGGATTATAAGCTTCTTTATTGCACTTTTTTTTTTTTTTACTCCATCCAACTTAAGCTCACCTTTTTTCTGTGCTAACGCCATCTTTTTCTGTATCATTGCAGACACTACTGCAGGACGGGTTCTACAACTCAGCAAGGTAATTTGGTTCTACCTAAAGTATGTCAACACAAAAATAGACATCCACCAACATACACGCATACACTTACAAGACTGGTCTGTCTCTATGGTTAAGAAAATTTAGGAACTTGGGCAGCAGAAAACTTTTTTAGCGGGGATCAGTGTTTTAAGTGTGATAGTGCATTCTAGCGTTCAACATTAAAATAAAGAAATCGGAAAAATTGTTGGGAGCGACCTATTGGCTCATGTTCTCGTGCTTACAGATTTGACCAGGACTAGCTCAAGTGCTTTGGTCTATTTACAACACTACAGATAATTAGAGAGGGAGGGGGAATTTGATAGTGAATAGGTTCCAGGTGTTGCTTTATATAGAATGAACAATGTAGGTGTTTCTGTCAGAACGGAAAGGTTCTATGTTTGAACCTTGATAGCAGATTGCATCCTTCAGATGTTAGAGACATTTATATATATATATATATATATATATATTAACTGTCACCTGTTAAATGTCAGAGGGTGTTCATGGTATCTGAAATGAGTATATTTAATGGTTAACGTGTCTATTTTTTTTAGTTGAAGAAAATTGAATTTCTCTATTGTGGTGCTTTGAGGCATGCACTAATGATATTTATGAATGAACTTTCAGCATGTTTCCGGATGGCAACTTGTGAGCCTAGATCAGCAAATCAAAACATTACGGCCTACGGAGTTATGCTTTTTGTGAGTGGACTTTTCTTTTCAATTTTAATTACATGAACTAACGAGGGATATATGTTCAAAGTCACTCTATGCTCTTTATAGTTTTCTACAAAAAAAAAAAAAAAAAAAAAAAAAAAAAAAAAAAAACCCCCCACAAAAAAAAAAAAAAAAATCGCGCACACAAAAATGTCAGAACTGATCCTTCCTTGCGAATGTAGGCTGGATTGAGTTTTCTGCTTCTCATTATATATAACTGTTCTGATCAAGTCCTTGCAACACGAGAGAGACGACAAGCAAAATCCAGGGAAAAGGCAGTTCAAAGTGTGCGAGAAACTGCACAAGCACGTGAAAAATGGAAATCTGCAAAAGACATTGCTAAGAAGCATGCAATAGGACTACAATCACAGTTATCGCGTACATTTTCTCGCAAGAAGTCTTCGACATCAGATCTAAAAGGCTTTGGACTAGGTAGACTAGGAACAGATTCTTCCTTGCCACCTCTTCCATTACAAGGAACGTCAAGTTCATCTCAAAAATCGTCAAAAGGAAAGAAGAAGGAAAAGAGCAACCTTGTAAACATAATAAATGACATCGAGCAAGATCCAAATAGTCATGAAGGATTCAATCTGGAGATAGGAGATAAAAATATCAAAAAGCATGCACCAAAAGGCAAGCAGTTGCACACTCAAAGTCAAATTTTCAAGTATGCGTATGGTCAAATTGAGAAGGAAAAGGCTTTACAGGAGCAGAATAAGAACTTAACGTTCTCTGGGGTGATCTCAATGGCTAGTGATATTGAAATCAGGAAGAGGCCTACAATCGAGGTTGCTTTTAAAGATTTGACCCTCACTTTGAAAGGGAAAAACAAGCATCTTATGAGGTGTGTGACTGGGAAAATATCACCTGGCCGAGTTTCAGCCGTCATGGGTCCATCTGGCGCTGGAAAAACGACATTTCTCTCTTCTTTGGCTGGTAAAGTGACAGGGTGCACCATGAGTGGCATGATTCTTATAAATGGAAAGTCTGAATCAATTCATTCATACAAGAGAATAATTGGTTTTGTGCCACAAGATGATATTGTGCATGGAAATTTGACAGTAGAGGAGAATCTCTGGTTCAGTGCAAGATGCAGGTATTGATCAATATCAAGATTCATATATTCTCTTTTTAAGATCATTCTTTCATTATTCTTTAATTTCTGGGATGGTGAAAATCAGTCGACCACCGAAAAAACTTTCTTTCGTTTACTGTTTGACGACGTGTATTTTCATCTGTTGTCCACCTAGTTTGAGATAATAGTGCTGACGGTTCGCCCTTTTGGGTAATGGTTAACTGTAGACTCTCAGCGGACCTACCAAAACCAGAAAAGGTTTTGGTTGTTGAAAGAGTTATTGAGTGCTTGGGACTGCAGGCTGTGCGGGATTCCCTAGTTGGGACAGTGGAGAAGCGAGGGATATCTGGAGGTCAAAGGAAACGAGTAAATGTTGGGTTGGAAATGGTCATGGAACCTTCACTTCTGATTTTAGATGAACCGACATCCGGTCTGGATAGTTCATCCTCCAATTTACTTCTTAAAGCACTAAGGCGTGAGGCTCTTGAAGGAGTGAACGTTTGCATGGTTGTTCACCAACCAAGGTAATAAATAAATTCTATGCTGTTCAAGAATGCACGCTTTAGGAAATATAATTCTCTTTACATATACTTTTATTTACCAAAATGAGCACAATTGTTAGAGAGTTTCGTCCAAAGTAGTTGGAGCAACACTTAGTCTCCTAATCTGATGGCAATATATGTTCAAACTCTCTCTTTTTCAGCTACACTTTATTCAGGATGTTTGATGACTTAATACTTCTAGCTAAAGGTGGACTTACAGTGTACCATGGGTCGGCAAAGAAAGTTGAAGAGTACTTTGCCGGCCTCGGGATTACTGTTCCTGAGCGTGTCAACCCTCCGGACTATTTCATTGACATTTTAGAGGGCATAGTAAAACCAAGCGCAAGCTCAGGGGTGAACTATAAACAGCTCCCGGTAAGATGGATGCTTCACAATGGGTATCCTGTTCCTATGGATATGCTTCAGAGTGCTGATGGAATGGCTGCATCTGCAAGTGAAAACTCTGCTCATGGAGCTAATGCACCTGGTTCTGAATCCGAAGGGCAGTCTTTTGCTGGAGAATTGTGGAATGATGTGAAGTGTAACGTTGAGTTAAAGAAGGACAATATACAACAAAACTTTTTGAAGTCTAGTGACTTATCCAACCGGAGGACCGCTAGTTGGTTTCAGCAATATAGATACTTTCTCGGGAGGTGAGCAATGAATCTGAATCTCTTCTTATGTATCTATCTTCTTTCTCTTTGAGTCATAACTGGATTCCCTCGACGTAACCAGTACTAATCTGTCAAAGCTTTTCTTTTGCTTGACTTCAATTGTTCCAGCTTAGTCTATAAACTAAGTGCTCATGTGAGGCCATAAACAGCGTTGTCTATTGGCAAAGTAGGGGTCAGAAATGTATAGATTTTCTTGGCTGTTCAATTCCATTGAGATTATGTCCTTTGTGGTGATACAAGATGATTTAATTCTGACCGGTTTGTTTTGTGCAGGGTTGGCAAGCAGCGGTTGCGAGAAGCTAGGCCACAAGCTGTAGATTTTCTTATTCTCTTGCTCGCTGGAATCTGTTTAGGAACACTTGCTAAAGTGAGCGATGAAACTTTTGGGTCGCTTGGTTATACTTACACAGTTATAGCAGTTTGTAAGTTTCTGCCTCCCTCCCTGCCTCTCCCTCTCTTTCTGCTTCTCTCTCTCTCTCTCTCTCTCTCTCTCTCTCTCTCTCTCTCATGATGATTTTTCCGAACCTGCGCTGCTGATATGTAGTATTCTCGATTTTCCTGATGATTCAATTTGACTTCTACTCTTGCTTCTTTTGTTCTAAGACATCACCTTACATATAAAGAACTACGTGCCAAAGGAATGTTCATTGTTGAACATCACCATTCACCAGTGGTATTAAGCATTGGCCATTACCAGCACATAATATCGTCAAATAGTGTACAAATCTAGCATAATTCTTAACACTTATGTGAATGGCCATTGAACTGAAAGGTTGATGGTAAACACTGATTGTAACCGGTACTTTTTATGGATAGTGTTGTTGTAACATGATATGCTCCAATACCCGCACCCCCAAAAATAAAATAAGAACTACATTACCAATGATTATGTGACTCCTCAAATGAATTATTTCTTCATGCTTTCACTTCTCATGCATCAATGTTTTATTCCATTTTCAGCTCTTTTGTGCAAGATTTCGGCTTTGAGGACATTTTCATTGGATAAGTTGCATTACTGGAGAGAGAGCGCTTCTGGCATGAGTAGCTTGGCGTACTTTCTTTCGAAGGATACCATTGATCATTTCAATACACTAATCAAGCCTCTAGTTTATCTTTCCATGTTCTATTTCTTCAACAACCCTAGATCTTCTGTGACAGATAATTATATAGTTTTAATCAGTCTGGTTTACTGCGTGACGGGTGTAGCCTATGCCTTGGCCATCTTTCTTGAACCCGGACCGGCCCAACTGGTGTGCATTTCATTCCTCATATTGAAAGATGATTGACTTCTTAAATTGTCGGAAAAATAACACCCCTTTGATTCATGTAACTTTGTCTTATGCAGTGGTCAGTGCTCCTTCCAGTAGTCTTGACTCTTATAGCAACCAATACAAATCACAACAAATTTGTTGATGCACTATCTAACTTATGCTACACGAAGTGGGCTTTGGAAGCATTTGTAATTGCAAATGCTAAAAGGTTTGACGTTAACCATCTCGCCTACTTGTACTATATTCTCTCTTCTGCAATGTCCTTTTCCATGTTGATTTTACACAAAAACACCTTTTGTTTTCTCCCAGATACTCTGGAGTCTGGCTTATTACAAGATGCGGATCACTCATGGAAAGTGGCTACGATCTCAATCACTGGTACCGCTGTTTGATCTTACTCAACACTATGGGAATAGTCGGTCGCGGTGTTGCATTCTTTTGCATGGTAACCTTCCAAAAGAAGTAGAATCAAGTCCTTACAATCCATTCTTTCTGCACATAAGTGGAGAGTTTTGTCTCAAATGGTGCTACACCCTTTGAATATTTTGAGAAAACTATAGATGATTCCCCAAAGAATTGGGACCTCTCGGCTAAAATAGACAACACAGAAGAATTAGGTAGAGATAGTTTTGTTGTACAATCACTTGCAACTGTATGATCTGTTTCTACTTTCTAGATCATACGGTTGTGAACATTACAGGTACCAGGAAAAAAAATCACAATGAATAGCTATCAAGGTTTATGCAGACTGTATAGGAAGGAAGTCAATAATTGTTGCTGTAGAAAATTTTGTATTTTTGAATTACTAAAAAATATTGTGACAGTCTTCATGTATTGGTCTTGACTCTTGAACGTTCTAAATGAAACATATAAACAAAGCATCTTTTAAACCTGGTTTGAGCTATCCACTGGTTTGAGGTTAATCACGAGCTTCCGTATGCACAAAGCCAAACTCGAGGGGGAAAAAGGAGATGGGTGGGGTTAATTAATTAGATGGCTATAATTCTTTTTCAAAAAAAAAAAAAGAAAAAAAGAAATTAAATTGCAATTACCTACTTAATTAAATTAGTCAACTTAAAAGAGTCTTCAAATCTTATTAAGTTATTAGTAGGAACCTTCAAAAAAAAAATCTTATTAGTAGGACTTGTATCATTTGTTCAATTTTAAGATATGAACTTGTGTCCAATCAATTAAATGATGACACTTCATTTAAAAGTTTTAAAATGGTTTTAGTTAACTTTTTAGTTTTTTAATGTTTTAAGTCCATTAAATTATATGATAAAATGTGATTGGTGAGACATTTTTTTTATACTAATAACTAGACAGGTAATATGAATCCAGTAATAAGAAAAATATAGCTATTAACGATATATCTTTTTAAACACTGAAATTTGATTTCCTAAAAAAAAAAAAATATAGGACGCGTTTAGAACTCGTTCTAAAATGATTTTATTTTTTTTATGAAAATGAAAACGTTTTCAATCTCAGACATAAATTATTTTTAAAAATGTGTTTGTTAGTTTTATCAAGAGATTATTTTCAGTGTAAAAAAACTTATTAATGTCTCTCTTTCTCTCTCTCTGCTTGAGAGAGGAGAAAACGAAAACAAAAAATAAAAAACGACTAAAAATCATTTTTTATTTCTCTCTCATTTTACATTAAACCAAAAAATCGTTTTTATTTCTGTTTTTTATCTTTATTATGCTAAACGCTATTTTAAAAATATATTTTTTTTTTTCTCAAAAAAACGTAAAAAATAAAAACGGAATCAATAGCGTTTTTCCTTGGTCACTTGCCTACACAAAATTGTAAATTTAGAAATTAAATTAAAACTTAAACTAAATTAAAGCTTCATTCAAAAAAAAAAAAATTAAAGCTAAATATATCAGCAATTAATAATTAAAGCCAAATAAAACATGGACAATAAAAACTGAGAGAACCGAAGACCCTAAAATCCCAAATTACTCGGCCGCTTACCTCTCTCTCTCTCTCTCTCTCTAAAACCGCCTTAGTGCCTTACCCTCTTTGAGGCCCCGATTTCCTGTCATCTCACCTTTCTTCTTGTCAGACTCGCGGCAGCAATTGGTGAGGTTTTTTCCTTTTATTTTTCCCTCCGATTTTGTTGTTTCTTTTTTTCTTTTTGAATTGTTGATTACTGTTTTCGCAATTCAAACCCTAGGTCTGCCCCGGACCTTCGCGCTTCAGATTTCATAGCCTTTCCTAATAGCACGTACGGATCCAATAACCAGGTGAGCTTCTGCTTCTGATCGGTCTATTTGCGATTTCTGTGTTCTCGAGTTCTTGTCTTCTGGTTTAGAATATTGTTGCTTTGGGGACTAGATCTCTGGAATCTAAGCAATTGGACGTTTAGCTTTTTCTCCAGACCCTGTTAATTTTTCCGTAAATAGATGTGGATTGCAATTGGGCTATTTTTTATTTTTTGTATAGTTTAGTCCTAGTAAAGACGGATAATTCTTTTCAATATCTAAATCCGTGAACCTTTGTGTAGGTAAGAGTTTTATGTTAAATAATGTCCTACTTATCATCCCATGGCCATCCCTTTGTGAGTCTGGGTTTATTATACTAGAGTTTTAATCCTTTTTCTATTTTGCCAGTCCTACATTGTCTTACCCTGCTTAGATAATTCAGTTTTTATGCACTTGTTAATCACATACTATAATGAATATTAGAGGGAATCTCATGCTTATAAGTCTTCCAAGTGCTATATTTATTTAGCTAATATGTTTTCTGTACGTTGTCGGGTAGCATTAGTTTATTTAATTATTTGTTTTTGGGTGTGCTTTGCTGTGTCTATTTTATGAATATTTATGGGGGGATTATAAGTATGATAGTTTTTTTTTGAGAATAACAAATGTAGAATGAAGATATTAGGATCAAGGAAAGATGGGTTGGGTTTGGTTTATTAACAGCTTAAGTGGGGGATTTTTTTTTTTTTTTTTTGGGTATAAGGGCAATGTTGGGAAGAGGGGGGGTTTCGGACGGGTACGAGGTCGGCTCAAAGAGACAAAGAATGATGGAATCAAATCCCTACTTCGCAGTGAGCAGCAGTGCAAGTGGCTTTCAACCTTACAGCTATGGGGGTGTCTATCAGCCCCCTCCATTTCCTGTGGTTCGTTTGAGGGGGCTTCCTTTCAACTGCACTGATATTGACGTTTTCAAATTTTTCGCTGGATTGGATATTGTTGATGTGTTTCTGGTCAACAAGAATGGACGGTTTTCAGGCGAGGCCTTCGTCGTCTTTGCTGGCTCGGTGCAGGTTGACTTTGCTCTCCGGAGAGACCGCCAGAACATGGGCCGCAGGTATGTGGAAGTTTTCAGGTGCAAGAGGCAGGATTATTACAATGCTGTTGCAGCCGAGGTGAACTATGAAGGAATCTATGATACTGACTATCACAGAAGCCCTCCTCCATCGCGACCAAAGAGGTTCAGTGACAAGGACCAGATGGAATACACCGAAATATTGAAGATGCGTGGCCTTCCCTTCTCTGTGACAAAATCAGACATTACTGAGTTCTTTGCAGAGTTCAAGCTTATAGAAGAAAGGATTCATATTGCCTGTCGACCTGATGGGAAAGCTACCGGAGAGGCATTTGTGGAGTTTTCCTCTGCAGAGGAGGCTAAAAAAGCAATGAGCAAGGACAAGATGACCATCGGGTCAAGGTATGTGGAGCTGTTTCCATCAACACCGGGTGAAGCTAGGCGTGCTGAATCGATGTCCAGGCAGTGATTCTTGTGGCTAGGAAACTATGTTTGTGAAATTTGAGTCGGGTGTTAAATCCCTTCTTTTTTCTTTTTAGATTGACAATTTAGAATGTTTATCAACATATTTGGTATGTTAAAAATAGCTGAATTGAAGTCCTCGTGCGGACATAAGGAACATTTGAGATTATGTTATTGCAGAAACTCATATCCTTATTGTTTGCTATTTTTTAATTTTTTTTTAATTTTTTTTTTCTCATTGCTATACATGAGTTTTTTTCCCGCACTGCCCGCGTAGTTTAACAACTGAATTAGATTTTGAAAGTGGCTTAGTGCTCGTATTCATGTTTGATGTAATTTTTTTTCGTAACTAGGGTTGTTCTTTTGCATTTTTAAGTTAAAGTGACTTGAGTTATGATCTTAAATTGAGTTTGAATTATAACTTGAATTGAAGTTGTAACTTGAGTTTGTGTTTAGATGTGTACATTTGAGTTATAATTTAAATTGAGAATCTTTTTAAGTTTGTGTTTAAATGAGTCAAAATTTAAATTTGTATTTAGATAGTATTTTAATAAAAATTCAATGGTGATGAAAAAATTTAATAGAGTATATGGGTGAAGTTTTATTCGTCTTTTCATTGTGAATGCATAAAAAAAAAATCATCTCAATAAGAATTAAAACGAAAAAGTTATGGAATTTTTAAAAATAGAAAAAATATTGTTCATTAACTTGAGTTTGAATTTATGAACTCAAGTTGAAGGAGAAATTTGAATTTGAGTTTAGCCTCAAACTCAAATTCAAATTCGAATTCAAATTCGAGTTTAAACTCAAATTTTACAAAAGAATATAAATTTGATTAAAATTATAACTCGAATTTAAATTTTTTTTAGTTTTGTTGTAAAAGAACAACCCCTAAGGTTTTAAGCTGGAAAAATGAAAAAAAACAAAAAAAACAAAAAACAAAACAAAACAAAACAAAGCTATTGAACACGTCTAGTGAAAAATTGTTCAACCTTCTTTCTTTTACAATTCTTACTGTTAGGCTGTTACTGCCATTTTGATTGGCTTGGCTATGTTTTCTGATGGATAATACCAAGAAAAAACAGTTTTTCTGACCTTTGGCATTTCCTTTTACTGTTCAACTCATTGAAATGAAAAATAAAAAGAATTGAGTTATTTTTGGAAGCTGCGCGGTCGGTATATCATCTTCACTTTTACCCTATGCTCCAACATTATTGAAGCTCATGTAGATCAGAGCCAAAAAGTAGCATCCCCTCAAACTTGCCAAACTCTATTTCCTGAAATCCACAGAATGCAACATAAAAAATCAGTTTCTGTTTAATAGATTCTCCAAGTGATAATGAGTAGACAGCATATATGGATGGACGGACAGGCATGATGAAATATATGCTGCTGGTAACCGAAAGTTTGCTCATTAACACTCGCAACAAACAAAAAGCACAACCACAAAAAAAAAAAAAAAAAAAAAAAAAAAAAAAAAAAAATCATATGTAAGGAGCAAATGAAGACCAGGAAAATTACATGACTGAACATTGAGATACCTGGAAAGATAAGTTTTTATCTCCAAACCATATCTCCCATGAATTTAAGAGCTGGAACTCCCCGTATCTCTGCGTCCACCAGGGGTGCCTGGATTAGTCTCAGACTGGCGAGTTCCCGATCGTTCTGGATCATTTTGATGGCGCGCATCTGGTCCTGCAATATTTTGAAATCCTATTGAACACAAACCCTTCGACAGCAATTAATAAAGTTCTCTTTAGCCGTGGGTGGATTTCAGCATTTAGAACGGATAAGTTTGTGCTCATGATAAGAGTTCATAACTATTTCTTGGATAGAAACTCGGAAACCTTTGAAGAAACTATAATTGCTTTCACTAATGCTTTTAAGGTTGAGCAGAAATAGGCATCTGACTGTCCTCCTGAGTGCATGTAATCAATCAAGGATGACAAAAGTGATCAAGCTTAAAAAAAAACTTGAATGCAATATATGCACAGGAGACACTTGTGAAAATGATGGTTGGAACATAATAGCTTTTCTCCTGAAACTCTAGGAGCAATTAATTCAAAAAAAAATAAAAAAATAAAAAAACAGAGAAGAAAATAAAAAAGTTTTAACAACTTTATTTTCATCATTAAAAAGCTTTATCATCAAATTCTCGCATTCCACTAAGAAGTAAAACATCCTTAACTACGCCAAAAAAAAAAAAAAAGAAGAAAAAACTACTAAATAAGTTTTGGATATAGGAAGTCGCTTTTATGATCTTTGAAGCTATGGTCCTTAATACAGAAAAGAGAGGAAATAAACAAAAAATGATGTACCTTCCTTTTCACCGCACAAAACTTGCAGTCCGGCGAAGATGGTGGTAAAACCTGATTTACAACAAGCCTCTGGACAGGAACATGTTCTTTGCTAAGGGATGCTTTCAACCTTGATGACTCACTTATTGCCATACCCTTGAGAAAGTGGCCAGAAAAATTAGTTCATGTTTTGAATTCATAAAGTGGTGAATACCCACGTAACGGTTTCTACTCTAGAAAATAATCACCAGAGATGACATTAGCTTTGGTTGACAGGGAACAAAACCAAGAAATGAAAGGAAAAAAAAAAGAACTGTTTTCTGTTATTGCAATGAGTTACAAAAACATTGGAGCTTTACCGTTGGAATTGTGACTATGATAAACTCTGTAGTGACCGAGTTACGGAAAAGGTCTCTCACTTTTGTCATCCTCTCTTTTAATCGCTCCAGTTTGTCTGACTCCGACTAAATAACCAAAAACGTTAAACCTTAACATTTTAAAAGAGGGAAAACTGGTGAACAAAAGAAATATCATGCTTGCTTACAGCATCCTGTGGCTTCTCTACTTTCCCCAAAAGAGATTTGACGGCCAAACTCGCGGAAGCTAACTTCTTCTTTATCTGAATAATATAGCAGCATAACCATTCAAAAAAATAAAATAGCAGCATAATGTTAGAAAAGCAGTATTCAGAAATAGTGAAAGACATGTTTTGTTAGAACAAGAGTTTAAAAGCTCAAATATGAAGCACCTTTTATAGGGGCATACATTCATAACACTGAGTTGGATTCAAAACAGAAAACAGAAGTCTAGTAGATGAAAGATTCCAAAGTTTATTTTTCGATTGGCTAACAAATGGATGCAGATGTTCATAGAAGTTTTCATTCACATAGAATAACTCCTATTTTCCACAAGCAATTCGACCTAAAAATTAGTCTTAGATTGTAGTATCTAAGTACAATTTGTACCTTCATCATTTTGCCAATAGATGCATCCATAAAGTCAGGAAACGAAAGAAGCCGAAGCGTATGACCCTGTAGACCAATTTGTAAATAAATAAAGCTAAGAGAATAGTCAAGTGAAGCAGCTTTGAAAACAAGTGAATTATCACTTACCGTGGGAGCAGTATCGAAAACTATACGAGTAAACATACTGTACTCTTGTGACTCAAACAATTGCAAAACCTGGAAAGCAGCAGCAAGTATTGATAGAACGCACATGACCTCAGACAAGAAATGTGAAAAACCAGAAGCTAAAAAATACTTAAAATAGGAGAGGGATAACAGATACATGCCTTGGAAATTGCAATAGCTTCATCCATACCAGGAGGAGTGTGAGTGTCCAATAACTCTCCCAGCTTCAGATCCCCTAGCTATGGACATACAATTTGAAAATTTTCAAACAAGTAAGATTATAATATAATCCAAAACATTTATTTTTTCCGTGCTTAATCAATCACTTTCCTAGTCATGTCCTTGCTCTTCAATTGATCAAAATTGTAGCAATTCTAATAAATTTGGTTATTTTGAGTGTCATAATTGCCCTTTTGCGCATGTAAATAGCATTGATTAGAAGGAATTTGCTCACTTGGTCAGCAAGCATTCCAAGGCCCATACTGCTTATCACATCTCTAACTTCATTTTCACTTCTTCCTTGACTCGCAGAACGGAATTCTTCTCTAGTTTTCTCAGGGTTTATCTGTCACGTATCAAAAAAGATAAGCTTGGAAATTGGAATCACAAAAAAAAAAAAGGGCAATCATAAAGATGAGCCCTTTATTGAATAACCTATTTGCATATACCAGCTTACAGACATAACCACATTACCTCAAGAGCAAACAGTGGAGATTCAACTCCTTGAACAGGAACAAGATGTCCACCAGTCAAATCCTAGAGAAAAGGTATGCATTTCAGAGAAGTTTCTCTCAAAGTCAATCAAGATAATTAAATTGAAGATAAGAATTTGAAAAGCTCTTAATAAGAGATGACCTGGGCAAAAGAATCACTCAAAGAGTGGGCAGGGTCAGTGGAGACCACCACTGTGGGGTGTCCATTGTTTGCAAATTTCACAGCAAGAGAAGCAGCACAGGTTGTTTTCCCAACCCCTCCTTTACCACCTAGCATGTAATATTTCCTGTGGGTCCCAGCAACCATCTCATCAAACCCAGCAACATTTTCAGCTTCAGCAGCTATTGATCTCACTGCAAGAGAATCAAAATTGAGCAACTTATTATATTTCTACTAACATGATCCTGTTTTGTTTGGTGCTCATCTTAACATGACTTATAATTGGTCCTGACTTCTCAAGAGAAAAAAAAAAAAAAAAAAAAAAAAAACAAAAAATTTTTCAATTCCTTAAAATTTAAAAAAAGAGGTG